GTTCTTGCCGCGAGGGTATTTGCGGTTCATGTGCTATGAACATCGGTGGTACCAATACTTTAGCCTGTATTAGGTAAGCAAAATCCTGAAAGTCCATAATCTTTATACATTGATTTTCAACAATAGTCATTGAAGATCCAAGCTTGGTTGAGAAAAAAAAGCCCTAACTCTCATGCAGTGAACTTATAAAAAATGTCTGTAGCATATATTTTTGCATGTCCTTATTCAAGAGATTCAAACTATGGAAGTAAATTCGTGACTTGTATCTAAATGAATTATGCTGCGATATAAAAGAAAATAGAACAGCGTTATTTAATGATTTCTTTGAAAAAAAAAGGCAGCAACTTTGGTATACAATCTGCCAACGAAATACCCGGAAACTGCTATTAGGGAATTCTATTTATTGGTAAAGCAATTACTTCTTAGGTAGGTGCCGTCGGTAAATTAATTTATTTGTCATAACAAATAGTATTAGGATAGTGCATGAGTTCCATTTTGCTTTGAATGATTAAATGTTTTTTTTTGTGGGAAAACTTATATGAGGGCACGTTCAAAAAATTTATTAATCACATTCCAATTTTCCACATTTATTAAGCATTACGGCGTATTATTAGTCACAGATTGTAGTAGCAATCTTTTAAATAATAAATTCTCTAAAATATGACTGAATATAAGAAGTAGTAGTAAAAATCCAATCCAAATTTCAATAGACTTGAACGTGGAACCAAAACAACCACAGACACTGATAGACATTGGCATTGGCTTGGCGAATAAAAAAGATCTCAACTTCAAACTATTTACATCTGTACATGCTTAATGTAGCTTCAAAACATATGATATAGAATACAATAATTCCCCCGTGTAATGTTCGCCCTTGAGCTGAAACGTGTCAATATACCACATTTCATCAAAATATCTCGAAAATTGTTGTATGTAGGTTGAATGCAAGAAAAGTAGACGAACGGACGAGCGCTCTCTTTAGAAAATGATTTTGGGTCGATCGGTATAATAATAGGTGGGCCTAACTCAAGTCTTTTTGAGTCCCGTGTACCACAAGCGGCGTACAGTATTAAAAAAGCATAACTTTCCAATTTATGCGTAAAAAAACTTTTTTTACAATCATTTTCGAAAACCTAAAATCTGCATATTTAAAACCTTTAGACGATTATGGATCGAATATAGGATTAAAAATTGTTTACGTGTCTTTTTGCGTTTAATAAGCAAAACGTTTTGAAACTTTTCTAGCAAAATCGATACCAATCTTTCTAAACCTTTGAAAATTTATCCTTTGCCTCATATGTATGTGGTACGCGATTTGGTACCCGATATGAATAACTTCTATGAACAATACAGATCCATACAACCCTGGTTGCAACGCAAGTAAGTTAATTTTGAATTAAATAATTTTTTCTTCCAAAACATTTACTATTTAATAAATTCTTTAGAAATGAAGCCACCGAGAAGAAGGGTAAAGCTCAATATTTGCAATCCGTAGAAGATCGTTCTAAACTGGATGGTTTATATGAGTGCATATTATGCGCTTGCTGTTCTACCTCTTGTCCGTCATACTGGTGGAATGCTGAAAAATATTTAGGTCCAGCTGTACTGATGCAAGCTTATCGTTGGATCATTGATTCACGTGATGAAAGTACCGAAGAACGTTTAAATAAACTCAAAGATCCATTCAGCGTATATAGATGTCATACGATCATGAATTGCACACGCACTTGCCCGAAAGGCTTGAATCCTGGGCGCGCAATTGCCGAAATCAAGAAACTTTTGTCTGGCTTAGCCAAGAAACCGGAACCTAAACTCGATACGGCCGCTTTACACAAGTGAACAGATCGCTTGTAACAAACTGAATTTATTTTCTGTAGCTTCATTGTACTTACACCGTTCGATTTTTTGTTTAACATTTCCAGTGTTTTAAATTTTTTCACAGTGATTGATATATTCTTATTGCTTTTCACGTTAGAAAGTTCTACGTTTTGTTTTCGAATTAAGTTAAAAAGTCTTTTATTTTTGTAATATTTAAATTTGTTTTTGTTCCCTTTTATTTATTACAATATTTTCAGCAAAGTAATCCTATTATTAACTTTAAAAGTACGTTTAAAAAGTAACCTGAAAATATAAAAAAGCAAGCTAAAGTGTTTAAATAAAATAAAAGACTACGTATGGTACGAAACAAAAATGAATGATTTTCTAAATTCTTGTAATCTTCCTTTTCGTTGTGATGTTAAAGTATCACGATATTATGTTGTTGTAAAAAAAGAAGAAAGCCTACTGGGATATTCAATCGCTGAAATGGGTTCATTTTTATTTCGGGAAGTACGCTAAAATTTGTTTTATAACGCGGTACCCCTTATGTGACAGTCATTTCATCTCCTCGTCGCCGTACTTATTATTATATTATCATAGAAATCTTTTGTAATATTCTAACACTGAAGTCTTAAAGCATTTTAAGGGTACTGACTTCATTGAAAACTTCACTGCATTTGAGATTTGAACTTACGATCATTGAGTAGTTAGTGGATACACTTTGCCGACTCGACCGCTCTTTTGCAATATATTTTAATTCTTATGAATAAAATCTTAAAGTGTTTTTAACTTGGCTCATCATTTTCGCATATTGGATTCTGGAGACACATTAAATAAATTCAAACATATTGCAGTTTATGATAACGTTAGCAACATTAAGATTAATTAAGTCTGCTGAGTAATACAATAACAGGATCGTCTTTATGATTGATTTTTCATGGGGGTAAGCACGTATCTGAAAGTCAGCGTATGTTTCGTGTATGTGACAGTTAGCATTGGTTGACGACTATCGGTTTTTTTGCGATCATGTAGGCACAACAGCTGTTAAAACACTCTCCCATACTTCTCAAATTACACGTAAGTAAAAGAGTTTACGTTTGGCATTAGTATTGGTAGTTCTGAACTAGTGTTTATTGTTTAGAGTTGCATTTATAAGGTAAACAGCTGTAAATCGACTACAAGATAAATTCCAAGCAAAATTGTTTATTTATTGAGTCTAAATGAAGTAATTAACAAAGGAAAACAAATTTCTCAAAGCAACTCTGCTTTGAATTACCTCATCTTTCTTTCTAGCTCAATACAAATTTTTTCTTAATCAAAAAACAAATTTTTGCGGTGCAAAAAAGGACTAACCGGGTCGCCACCGTTCTTCAATAATTTTAGAGATAGAGATTTCTTTTTCCCAGTCTAGATTGTGGATGAAAACAATCTTTATAGTCCTGTGCGAAACATAACGTCTATCTCGATTGCGCCTAATGAAGCATATGTCAAACTTGTTAATTTGATTTTTTCCTATATATCTAATCATCTGTTACAGATACTGAATACGAGACTAATGACCTTCAAAATTCAGGAGGAATGGGAAATAGGTCGAATAAGACTCATTCCTAAATAGACTTCCTCTTTTGCATTTAATAATCTTCGACCGATTAGAAGCTTGCCCTACCTCTTCAAAGTGACGAAGTGTACCTTTGAACTTTTAATTTCCGTCACGGTGTCCATTAGGGATACCATTAATGTTAGTATGAGTTGTGTTCTCGTCGCCCTCGGTCTAACAAGAGCATTTGACAGAGTCTCTTGCGTTAAGTTTATTAATAAATTTTATGGCAAATTTAACTTTACCAAAATGCTTGTAAGCTTAAGTGGTCGCGTATTTCAGAATGTAAATGGATTATTTCAGTGAACGGCTCTAACTCTTCTATTGAGACTATGCCTGGCGCAAAGTTCTATTTTAGACCTCCTATCGTTTAATCTGTTCGTAAACGATCTGGAGAAGTTTGTTGATAACAATCTTTCTACTTTATAGAGATAACGCAAATAATTTGAATTCGTTCGAGTCGTTACCAATTGTAAATTCCTAGGTGATTCATAACTGTGCTGCGTCATTCAACTTCAATATAAAAATACTTCGATATTTAACTGATCTTGTAGTTCCATCAAACATTTTAGGATAACCTTTGATTGCAAATCCAACTTTGACCATGCACTGACAATGTCTCTGCTAAAGTTTGTCTTACGCTCTGAAAATTGTACAACCTGAACCTATATTCACCTCTACAGGTTAAAAATACCATTGCGCTTTCACGCCTTATGACACATGTTAGCTATTGTGTTGTTGTTTCCGGGTACCCAAAAAATAACATAGACAAGCCTCAAAGGTTTTGTAACCGTATTACAAGCTTTGTTTGTAACGTCAAAGCTAAATGAAATCAAATTAAAATAAATGCAACTCTACAACTGAAACATTAAGCGCAATATACAAGCTTGCGTTACGCACGGTTCACGAACTGTCAAAATAAAATTCATTGTATGTAGAAATATAGCTTACGTCGCCTTGTCCATGAATACAAAATTTTGGCGTTTTTCAAGCACATCGTTTATATTTTTATTAAAAAAACAAGAACAGAAAAAATTAAACTAAAGTGTAATGCTATCTACTTCTGTAAGGAAAAAAATTGTTCGCTTTACTAGTTGTATTTTGATCCAAAAATGTCATTTACTAAAGAAGTTTTTCGCTATATTAATTCTGCACGATTATGTTAGAAAATGTTAGCCATATGATTTTGCTTTACCAATGCATGTAAACTATGTGTTAATTGTTTTGCGAAAGCGCTTTAGGGTATGACTGGCATTGTTATAAAATTTTGTTTTACGCTGAGAAGAATTTGAAAAAAAGAGAGGGCTTCTCTCTTTTTGCAAATACTTATACATTAATATAGCTCTCAAACATTTCCTAGGTTTTTCTCAATCAATTTTACTCTCAAAAATTGAATTTTATTCCCAGTCAAAGATAAAAAAAATTTCGCTCTGAGAGGAGATTTTTCCGATTGTTATATTGTGACTGAAAGAGAGCGAAAAAAATAAAGCTACCAATTTTACAATATAAATTCAACATTTTCTATTTTTTTTCTAGTATGTGTGTGAATTTCAAGAAATTAAGATAAGCGGAGGTATCGTTTTTTTTAATTTTAAATTCAAGTGTAATAATATAGTATAAAAAAAGAAAAGTCAGAAATTTGTTTAGCTTCTAAGCACAAAAAACTATATGAAGCAGCTAAAGTGCTGATTGTGTGTGTATAAATTGAAAAGAAATATAGTAAGGAATATTGCGACGGACTTATGTGAAAGTGAAAAAATATTCTCCTAAGAATTTTATAAGCAAGTGGGCTATAAATTCTATGTGGTATGTGTCACAATAAATTTTCATTTCCAAAAATATGCGATCATCGGATTTTTAATGTTTGATTTGTATGTGTTGGAGTTTTTTTTTTTCTTCCCATTACCCACCCGTGCACCGTTAATATTATAGAAGAAGTTTGCGGCATTTTCTGAATATGTAATCGTGAGGCTCACACGTTGTTATTGTAATAGGCAAATGCAAAACGGGTTTTAATTGCAAAAAATGCGGTTTATATGTTTAGTTTCAAACAAGTTATAACATGTTTATTTGCGCCGATATTCGGCTGCATGTGCTTGATTCCTACTTATTTTTTTTTTATTTTTCTTCTGATTAGTCTTCCAATAATTTCCTACATGTGCAAAATTTTGGAATGTTCGAACTTGTATTGTACGAAAAACAAGGGGTAGTAGGATATTTTTTCTCCAATCGGATTGCCCCAACTTGCGAGAGTTGCCATTTAGTACCTCTGTGACGAGGATACTTATTCAGAGTAGTGCGTGAAACTTTTGACCTTTATTTTGGAATTATTTTAATGCTATTTTTACAGAAATATTAAGTCATGCATTAGTACAGTTGCGTTAATGATAAATATATACTGGTATCCATAGGCGTGAGAGATGCATTTTATACGATGACTAATATAATTGATTCCTGATCTATTTCTCGTATGTAAACATGCGTGCACAGAATTATCGACCTCCTCTTTGGATTTTTTTCATTTGCATTCTATTTACAATGAAACGGTGTTTTGTTTAAGTGTTTGTCGCTTTTTCACTATTTTTATTATACACTTGATGATGGCCCCAGTTTGCTCTCAATTCCCGTGCTCCCATTTTAATGGCTTTATGTTAGAAATATTTTTTCTAGTTAATTTTAGATTTTATTTTGTTGTGAATTACGGTGTGCTGTGAGGTAATTCACATTTTACAGTCAACGACAGTAGAAATAGTACCCGTTGCAAATATTTATTGGCATTTCTTTCAAAATACCGGTTTAAAATTTTCAAATATATCTTTGCAATTCAAATTGTTTGGTTATCAGGAATTGCTATAGTAATTGAAAGATAATAAATAAATAACATATTTGTAAAATATTTCATAGACTCTAATTATAAAATTTGACTTTATTACATAAAACCAAATTGGGCGATAAATTTTCTTAGTTATCAATTATCAGTTATCAATTTAAGTGCAAATTATCAGATAATTTTCGTTTGTTTTTAACATGATTTCTATACTCATTACTGATAAACCTAAACTCCACTGCTCGTTTCTCTGTTAAATTATATTCCATTTTACATATCTCCACTACGAGTATAAAATGATGTTTAAATGGAAACAAGTAAAAAAAATTGAAAGTAGATAATCAATTGAAGGATTTGAGTGAGTGACCATGTCATTATATAAATCTTAACGTGTTATGTAGATTTTTTTTTGTGTTTGCAATATTTCAGGGAACTTCACGTATTTGTGTTTTTCTTACTTCTTCAACGTGTTTTTTCATCCCCTGAATGTATCAAATTTTAAATAACATTTTATTTGGACCTCTTTTTACCTTATGCTATCGAGCTCATAAACACCCTTCCAAACCATACCCTCTATGCGAACAGTAAAAGTTCTATACATAGACTCTATTTAACATTTATATACTGTTGCATAGTTGTTGTTTTCTTGTAATTTGTTTTATGATAGTTCTTCATGAATGAACTTCGCTATTTCGAGCGTGGCGTGTGTGTCTGTTCTTTGCCTTTGTACCCGTATATGCGTAAGCTTTCTTATGCTTCTTTTTTTTATTTTTTGTTTGTATTTCAGACACTTGAAGGGATAGAGATAATCATTGAAAGAGTGTGTGCGTGTGCCAGTTAATACAAAATGAGTGGCGGCGGTGAATTAGGTCCGGATGAGAGGCGTCGTTCTCGTTCAAAAACACCATTCTTACGTTCCGCTTGCGATCATGAGAATTGTGAACACATTTTAGACGAGGCCGGCCATGTTACACATCGTAAGAAAAAAACAACATCAACATCTACATCGTCAACACCAACGCCAAATATACAGTAAGTAGATTTAATCTCTCTTCCTTACATTTACTTAAATGCATAAATATGTAAATAAAATGAGATAACAGCCCGCTTAATTGAGGTGACACAAACGTAAAACGTAAAAGTTCATTTTCATGAGCGAAGGGATAACGTCATTAGCGAACCCAAGCTATTTTTATTTGAAACATTCTAAAGTAACGGAAATTTATTTGTTTTGTGTGCGTGCGTATCTTGAAACATAAATTTTCTTATACGGCAACACATTGAGTATATATATATATATATATATATATATATATGAATATATGCATGTATGTATTTATGTGATGTATATATATATTTTATATGTTTGGCGCGCAACGTTTTATTTTTACTTACACATTTTCGTTGTTATACAACTTCCAGACTGCGCCTTATTTGAGCAATGATTCATACTCATAAGTAATTCTCATTTATTTTGCTTTGTTTTGTTTTCTCTTTCCAAGGAGATTATTCTTGTTGACCCTCAAAATTTGAATTTCTTTTAAATGTCAGTAAATATTTAGATTAACACAAAAACAAAACAATAATTCAAAGCAAAAGAGAGAGCAAGAGAGAGAAAATGTATTCTAGTTACGCTGAGTATCCGTTACTTATTTGTATGAAAATGACGAAATTTGCAGCAAATTCTTATAATCACTTTGTATATTTTATCATTAATAATATATATAAGCAGATTTCCTTCTTTTTTTTTTTTTTTAAATACTATACGATATATGGTATCGAAGATCATATTTTTAATAAATTAGCAGCACCTGGCGTTTAACTACAAACATATCCGAAACATATCTGCCAGCTGCGTGTTACTAATGCATATTTCTTGATTATTCGATGCTAGAACCCATGCGGAAATACATAATAAAACAATTGTTAAAAAAGCAGGAATAGATGATTTGGCTTTTGAGCCTTAACTTACAAGAGTGAAAAGACAGTTTTTCAGTTTTAAAAAAACGAACGTTTAGCTATTATTTTGATTTCGATCACTGTTTGTGTTGATGTCCGGAAGCACCGAAAACTGAATTGATTTCCGGACTACGATTGATGATGAGGTAGTCTTTCCCGTGTTGAGGAATAAACATATAAGAAAGTTACTTTCAGCTGGGGCCGAATCTCGCATGCCCGACACCATTCAAATTTTTGGCGCCCCATTCGCCACTCTTATAACTTCGCGTTCTTTAAAGTAAATGCGGCAAATATCAAATCCACAAATTTCTGTTTAAAAGAACAGAGTTGCGTTCAGTTTGCGCATCACTGCGGTCTTGTGCTCTGTCCATTTGCTCTGCAAAAGTTTCTACCACATTTGAAGTCGATATATTAATTTTTGCGATCAGGAGAGCACACACCACATAGACGGGCAGGCATGGCTTCAAGCAAGAATTTCGCGCTGATCAAGAATATATTTACTTTACAGGGTCTCTGAAGCTTACTTTTGAGTGTTGCAAATATCATGACAAACCCCTGTCTTTCAGCGGTGGGTATAAAAATACCAGTAGCAAATTTTTTGCTTTTTTATTGTTAGGGAATGTCCTTATAGGTGCAAGCACGTTGCTGGTCAGGAAGGATTATATTTAGAGAAAAATGAAAAAAGATAATGGTCTTTGCGTATATTTGATTTTAAATTGGGCAAGTGAGGAGCAATGGGAAGAAGCACCGCCGATAGATCATTCCAAGGGCGCGCAATGTGATAGAAGAATGGAAAGTCACGGCTGCGTGTCCAATGATATACAGGCGCTTCCAGGACGGGCGGGTAGAAAATGACAAAGCCTATATTGCGCCGATGCCGAAGAGTATCGAAAGTTTTGAACACGTCGCCCATGACTACTCGATCCTTTCGCTGCTTGCGGTCGAACGTTTCCAAGTTGAAGTTAGGGACTTTTATCCCTCACCTGCGTCTTATACTCTAAGCAAATGATAGATAATAATTGGATACCTTTTAATCGAGAGATTTTTGAAATTTCTTTACAAATTCAACTTTAACCTTGAGCTTCAGAAATGTTTTTAGAATTTCTCTCAAGGTATGCATAAAAAGCTTTCTCGTTTACATACTTTTTTTCTACGTCATTTTTCATTGATTGGGAAGGTGCCAATAATACTAGGACCGTTATATATACATAGCATGCACTATTCTCTTTTCTCAAATTTTTTCATTTTATACGCGTGTTGAAATAAACGTGCATTCGTTTATAAAATTATTTTTGTATTTTTAGGATCATTGTTGAAGAAGCGGTTGAAGTCACTTCATCATCATCACCCACCTCATCATCATCACCCACCAAAATGACACAAACCAAAACTAAAACATCTGATTATTCGAGTGACGATAGTCCGGAAAATAGAATGAAACAATCTACAAAATCCATGATAATGGAAACGCGGGAACAACAAATCAAATTGAATAAAAGCGATTTGAAAACATCTCCACTAGTAAATGCAAGCAACATTGTCGTTAATAATACAAGTAGTAACACTGTAACTACTACGTTATTAACAAAAACTAGAAGAGACGCACGGGGTGGTAGTGTAGCTACCTCAACACCTATAGCTACGGGTTACCTGCAAGATAGCTTTGCTGCCCAGTTTGCTGGATCCGATAGAACGCGGTCGTCTGAAACGCAACGTTTAAAAGAAAGAACACAAAATGCCTTAAATGCAGAAAGAGAGTTAAATGCGAACCGTAGTAAAAGTAAATCCTTGAGTGGTTGGTTGAGCTCCTCATACACTGATAGAAGTTCGAGTCTTAATTCTGGTGAACATTTAGCCTATTGGGAGTATAAAAAATCGGGAGAATATTGGAAGTACGTACATAATATAACAATTATGTTATTTGTAATCTTTATAAACTGTTTGTTTTTGTAGAAATACTCCAAAGACAGATTATACCTATTCAAAATTATCGCCACATCGTCGCATTTTGGCGCCAGGAATAGTGGCTATGCCAAATATGTCACGCTATAGTTTGGAGAGCCATCATGATCGTGTTGGCCATATGATTGAACGTGATCCCGCACAAGAAGACTACATACGTAAACGTTATGTAAACTCCAACTATACCGAACAACGAAAACGTGTCGTCGATAGGCTAACTTATGATTCTGGCGATGAAGTTGATTACAGGCAACAGCAAACATATCATATTCCTTATTCCAACAATAGTGGCAGTTTTAACAAGTATCAAGAAGAGAGAGAATCTTGGTTCGTACATCTCATAACGAGTATCGTAACCATATTTACGAATAGTTGGAAGTCTTTAACTGGTTCTCTGGGTGCTGATCATGGAGTAGGGATATACGCGCACAGTACACCTGCTGCATATTCTACAACTGCACAGAAAGGTTTAAATTTCTTTTCACATAATTTGCTTTTGATTTGCTTATCTTATCGACTTTGCTTATAGGTTTCTTTGGAGTCATTTCGTCTATTATATACAACGTTTTTCGTTACGTTTATTTGTTTATTTCGTCCGTTTTGTGTTTGGATACCTGGTTACTGCAGTCGTCAAATGCTGATAACAGAAATAAGAAACGGTTCCTGCTTTTCCTTCTAATACTATTACCTTTGCTATTGTTAACTGGTAAGTGTTCAAAAAAGTTTATACTATCCCGGCACCTGCATTTCAATGGATTTAAAAAAGAGCAATAGACCTTAAAAATGATACGACAAAAAGCAGATTCGATCAGGGAGACCGCGATTTCTACGAAAATCCAAATGCGCAATATTGCGATCTTAACGCACAGTTATAATGTTCTGTGTTCCATAAGTTATTTTCGATTCCGTTGCGTACGCATATCCAAGTTTCTTTTCACAAGTAACAAAGTGCGCATGATCACAAGCATATAAATCAGACGGTAATAAATGTCGCTCTTCTCTCGTTCTAATGCGATACCGAAAGCATTTTCAATTTAATATTTGTCGTGTTAATATTTTTTGTCAATGGTGCTTTGTGTTACGCTGCCCTCAAGAAACTAGCCAGATATATGGTATATTCGTAAATATCCTCTATCATGAAAAATACCTCCGACGACAAACATTTCGTAGATGTTTATATACATAAATAATAAAAATGTCCCAACTAAAGAAAAACACAAGAAATTTGCGAGTTGTGTGGGTGTTTATTCTCAAAAGTTTTGTATGATAGTTTTGTCTCTGTATTCTGTATGCAAGTCTATTATGGCGCGTCGAGAAAATTTTTTTTTACACATATCTTGTTCTCCTATTTACAACGGGTCAGTATTTAATTTACATACACAAAAGATTTTTGTGCTCATTACCGCACGGGTGAATCCTATTGAAACTGCATTGGATCGGGCTACTCTTCCACTAATCACAAATCGCATTTTCCGAAACTCGTCCGCAATTGCCATTTGAAAAATAGTGCCAAACGATGTATCATTTGATAGACATTCCCGACACAATCGTTTTGTGATCTTATAGAGTTCGATTCCTGTCGAATCAAGAGATATGTTGAGGAACATTTATTATAATTTTATGTGTGCGAACAGCAACACGAATGCGAATAGATGCAAAGAAGAAGAAGAAAATTAATAAATAAGTAAAACAATAATCCAAATAAATTATGTTCAGTATATATATATATATATATATATATATATATTTCCTGAAAATTTTTTGCTTATTTTTGTTTTCATAATAGACTTTTATTTTATTACACCTATAAAGGAAAGCTTTAAAAATAATTATTTATTTTTGCCAACATTTTGAAATTTCCCTCATTAATGAGATTAGGTGGTCTTTATATCTCCGCGCATTTTACTTCCATCAAAAATGTGTATTTTCTAACAATACCTTACGATCGAGAAATTTTTTACTCAATAGTAAAAAAAAAATGCAAAGTCTATGGATTCTCTCAAACTAAGCATTCAATCTCGAGAACTATAAATACAAATGCAAAAATCCCAATCGCGCTTACTCTCGACATCGAGTACCGTAAATTGACCTCCGCGTGCGTGCCCTGATTTATGCAACTTATATCGAACCGTGGTTTATGTATAAAACATAAAATTTCATCTCAATGATGGACGATATAAACAGGGACGACAACACACTATCCAAACACTAATAGCGCTACGTTGTAAGAAATACATTTAAAGAGAAGATAAAATTTTTAAATCCATTGAATCCATTGTTCTGGTCATGGTTTATATGTTGTTTCATAACCGTTACTCTACGGTTTACCTATAATAAAACTAATACGTTATATATATATTTTTTATTTCTTGTTTTTTAAACAGGTCTTTATTATTATCTGCATCCCACTGAACCCTTTCCGCCTAAATCATTTACCGAATATACCTTTAGATTACCCGAATTATCCCAAATCGATTTGTCCGAATACTTGAATCACGAACAGCTTGATAAGTTGAAGTCTCAAACGTTTAATCATTACGAAGACCTCCGCGATTGGTCGAATGATTATTTTCTATATTTAAAAACATTAACACAAAATCTATACGATGAAGGTCGAAAATTAGTACGCCGCGATGAGTACTATGAAAGAGTTTAGAAGCCTATAGAGAGCAAGCTATTAACATATCATCGCGATTTATGGTTTAACTTTAAAGTGATCGTACAGAGGAAGAACAAAATTTTTCAATATTTATTTAATTTTCGTTTATTTATTTCAATTTAATTTCTGTTTTAAATCAATCAAAACGTTTTTTGTGAATATTTTATTCTTGATTTAGTTAAATTAAAAAATTTTTTTTTTTTTTAATTTTTCATATGTCATTTTTTTGTTTTTCTTTTTTTAAGTTTTTTATGTACATACGTTTACATATATATATCCTTAAAATTATTTCTTCATAGTTTTCGAATATTTTGTCAACTTAGATATCTCATAGATACGTACAAATTCAAGCGTTTGGATATATTTTCGATTTATTTTGTCCCATACTAAATGTCCATGTTGGAATCTTTTTTTCCTTTAATAATCATAATACAATTCAAAGTAATCCTTAAACTCTCGACGTTAATTAATACGATGATATGACGGAATAATTATAAACATATATATAAAAACAAATTGGAGAAGGATAGAGAATGTGTTTAAATTTAAAAATTTAAGTACTATGTTACAAATATATTTACAAATTAATTTTATATCTGTTATAATACAACAACAATTCTCTGAATTTTATGTCAAGAACACACGGTTATCGTTGTCTAACAACTACTTTCGTGAATAAAAGTTATGTTAGCATTTATTATTAAATTGTAATATCATTTTTTTTCTCGTAGAAATGTTAAATGTTTTTTTTTTATTTTTCAATTTTGTTCTCTCAGCTATTGTTCACATTATTAATGATCACAAAAAAAAAAAAAAAAAAAAGAAATATAAAAAAAAAAAAAAACAATTTTTAAATATTTTTATATGAAATTTTTAATGAGTTTCATTAGTAACTTATTTGTAAAGAATTACTTTTATTTGCAGGTAAGTAATTCGTTACAATTATAGAAAAAAAAAAAAAAATAAAACTAAACTACTCTATCCTTCTTCATTTGTATTCTCAAAAATTATTTTTTATTTTTTATATTAGCTCATTAACAGCACAAAAAAAATTTGTTGGTCAAAAAAAGCCCTCTATGTACGCTTCATCAATACACTTTTCTTTTTTTTTTTTTTTATTTAATATACAACAAATGAAGAAGGATTTTGTACGGTTCCCAAAATTTAATGAAAGCCTATAAATTACATGCTTTGACATTTATATATCCATCCTTTGAGAAAGCTCTTAAAGTAAACAGTATTTTTACTTTTCAGGGTCTCTGACACATTTCATTTCACTTGCTTCTTCAGGATAGGGTTCATATAATACTGCTCCCAAAAAATAAGACTAATATTCACGGATATATTAAATATTAGAAATATTTTTTTAACAGTTTTCTTCGATAATCGTGGTGTTGTGCACTATGAATTCCTTCCGTCCGGCGGACAAAACTCTTTCGGTTGCAAGAAGCTATTCGCAAAAAGATTCCGGAACAGATTCAAAACAACACAAATTTAAATTGGCTTTAATTTTTGGACACGACAGTACTGCCTTTCGCAAATCGCGGATATGTTCAAGTGTGGTCTCTTTAGGTAGATATAAAAAGTTTTCTAAAAATCGGCATAAACCAACTAGTGCGAACCTGTAGATCTTGACAGGTAAAGAATCGAGCAAGAGGAAGAAACCAACTAAAAAAATCTTTCGTATACTAATGATAAGAGTTGATAGAAGTTAGTGAATTTTCCCATAAGATCTTCCTTCTTCCTCTGCGATTCAGCAAATCAACAGCAGATAATTTATTTTGTTGAGCGAAAAAGCTGCAATGTGAACACGAATGTAAGACCTTTATATTTCCCACGAAGGTGAACAGCTGCACATTAATTGACTCAGATCTTAGATATCCAAAATATGCGGGAGAATCTAAACTTTTTTGTGTACGCTGGTTACTGGAATTCCAAAAGTCGCAAAAATGGACAATTTGTGTTAAATTTTAACATCTTGCGGTAAATTCGTCACATATCGCCTTTTTCCAATAATCCCTGTACAGATCCAGAAGGTGAAAAGGATTATAATCGATCAGCTGATAGGCTCATAATTAATACAAAAACTTTAGCTCAGTTTAAATCTCTTAGCCTTGTTAAGGCAATATGCATATAGTGTCCCACATTTCGGTACTAGTAGTTCTAATAAACGGCCATTTCCATTCTATAATTCCAAGATAGAATAAATGATATCAATGAATCAAAGTATTGGGTTCTTTTCGTGAGCACCATTAGCAAAGGCGCTGCACACAGATGCGCAGAAAAGCAAGTAGAAGGTGTATTTTTCAGTTCTTTACCACGAAAATAGTAAAAGATAGCGTCAAATAGTCCTAGAAGTCCTAGAAGTTGACGTCTTTTATGTTCATTTAGTAGCTTTTCATGAGGAGAGTGAAGTAGTTGCGTCCTCGTTAAGGTTGTGAAAACCAAACGGGTCTGTAATATTTTACTGTTAAAGTCCATTGTAAAGGTAAATCGTACGTCTTGAATAGGAAATACAAATATAATATTAATTTTTATAATAATGTCAGATGCATAACGCACCCCTAAAAAGATTTTTATACCCATCACCGAAGGATGAGAGGTAAAATCATTCTGTCAAAAGCTTCGGTAGTATATATATATTCTTGATCAGCATCAAATTCCGAATCGATTTATGTATGTCTGTCTGTCCTTATATATAAATATCTCTTCTGGTCGCAAAAATGAAGTTTGGCAGAAAAATCGCAAAAGGGCCAAAATTGTCGAAGTTCACGATCACAGTACCACGTGAACTAAGAACGCCCATTTTTTGCTTGTTACCCAAAAAGTACAACACATACACTATATAAATGTTCACTTTTTCTCAGCTGCGTCCAATCAGTATAATTGAATACGAAAATTTACTACTCCTGCCTATTTTTAGTCCTTTTAGCATAACGGTGATGGGTATAAAAAATTCGTTCCTGTCCAAATATAATTTCTTGTCAAATACGGAAATGCTCTTACTTATACATATATATATAAATATTAAGACAGGAAAATTGAAAAAGGAATACCCTCCACCAACATAGAATAACATATCTATCTAATTTCTATCCGCCAGTGCGTGTACACTGGGACATGGGATTGCAATATTTTCTCAAACATCGATAATTTAATTAATAATTAGCTATAATTTCTATCTGCAGCCTGGTATTCATTGGATGCTTCTGAGAAGCTTATTGAACAGCACTTACAAACCTGGTTGCCATTGACTGTCATGACAGGTTTAACGAGTATTTTATCTAGCGGTGTCGATACTTTAAAAGGTTTTCTAACCTCGCCTTCTAGTCATACATTAGATGATCTTCAGTATGCAATGCAGAAATCTCTTAGTAAGGAAGAGTATGATAACCTAATAAATCATGTTAATAATTATGTGCAAAAGCTAATGGATATAAAGATGAAAGATGAGGAAATGAAACGAAAGGAGCTGGCTTCCGTTTTAAGTGCAAAACAAATACAATTAATAGTACAAATAATTAAAGAAAACTTTGATGCGTTAATTGAAAGACAAAAAGATGCCGCAAATATTAAATTATCCTCCCAAGAAATGGATGAATTAGTGGCAACAGTTACGTCGAAATTAAAGGCATCCTTTGGACATCCTGTCCGACTGTCCAACGAACAAATGTTACAAGTTAAAACACTTATTGCGCAAAGTATGACCAACATTAACGATCAAAATTCTCGCTTAATAACGGAAAACTTGAATATGGAGGAATTTATTGATAAAATTGTGAAATCTTCGTTATTTCAGGGTTACTTTCAAGAAAAATTCTCCGAAAATCTTAAGAAAAATAATTTAGATTTCGAAGATCTCACTAAAGATTTAGATTTTATTAAAAAAATTATTGCCAGTAAACTGTCAGCGAGTGAACAGATGCAACAATCGCTGAATATGTTACAACAGAGCCAAAATGATTTATTAAAACGTTTCGAAGATCATCAGCTGGATGTCGATCAACGTTTAAAGGCATTATTTCAAGACATTTCCGAACAATTGAGTGCATTAAAAGATGAACATTTCTCACAACTTAATCAGCAAGTTAAAGCGATTCTAATAGAAATTCTAGGCTTTAAATCGACATCTTCAACTTTAAACGGATCTCAGTTGAAAGATATCGATCTACGCGAATGGATTCATCAAGTTTTTGTAGCCAAAAGCTATTTAGAGCAACGTTTACTAGAAATGAGTAACGCGACTGGCAGTAGAATACATGAAGAAATGAATCGTTCAAGTGCTTTGCTAATGCATGCCATAAGTGAAAAGTTAAAGAGTGAAATACTTCTGGCCGTTGAACGAAAACAAAGTGAAAACAATGCATTAATCGACGGTCAAATCAAGAATGCTCTCTCTGATGAAGAAATAAAAAATGTAGTGAAATCAGTTCTAGCTGTTTATGATGCCGATAAGACGGGTTTAGTCGATTTTGCTTTGGAATCAGCTGGCGGCCAAATACTTTCTACACGTTGCACAGAAAGCTATCAAACGAAATCGGCGCAAATATCAATATTTGGTATTCCACTATGGTATCCCACGAATACGCCCAGAATAGCCATTTCCCCCAATGTTCAACCAGGTGAATGTTGGGCATTTCAGGGATTTCCTGGTTTCCTAGGTAAGTTGAAAACGAAATATTACAACGCAACTTGATCGCTACAAGTCTTGTTTTTTTTTTTCGTTTTTAGTTTTAAAATTGAATTCTATGGTTTACGTGACCGGGTTCACTTTAGAGCACATACCAAAGAGTTTGTCTCCCAGTGGTCGTATTGAGTCGGCTCCCAGAAATTTCACAGTTTGGGTAAGTTAAGTTGTTAAAAATCCAGACATCATTATGTATTTATTGCGGCAAGGATGACAAACGTGATCCTATTTGTTATAGTTTTCACCATCAAGTGAGTGAGTGTTAAGTAAAGTCTTATGTTATGAATTGCTCAGAATGTAAATCTATCCATATCATATTGAAAGTGTCAAAGTGTGACTTCTATTAGTTTCATTTTTATAAGTTGTACAGGGATAGAATACTCTTTTCCATTGCGCGATAGAACCAGGTTGTCTGTCCTAAATATATATTTGATATTAATTAGGAGATATGATCTTGCGCTATGTGTGCACAAAACCCCTATTATCGTATGGGTATTAACTGTTTTAGTATCATTGAGATGAAAATTTAGTTTCACACAAGATCTGAATTAACCCGCGAATGCTTTTTCCCTTTGCTTTTTACTTAGACTTTTGATTATCGTGTTGTATCCTCTAGGTCCTGGATTTCATATATTTAAAAGTGCCTATTGTGCGTAAAGATTAACAAATTTTTTGTCAACTTATAGTAGATAACAGTCTACTGTAGCAAATGAAGGTCTGAAATTTATGCGAATAGGTGGAGGTATGTAAAACTGACTTTCTTCCTGTGTCATATATGACTTGTGCGCAACTGCATATAATGTTGGAGTGATCTTTGCTGGATATACTTGCTAGAGATTATTCACCTTCATTGCGATGTTTTAAGTTTTGATGACTTTTTCTTTATGATGTTTTTCAATTGTTGCCATACCGAAGTATTAATGCATTAGCTTAATTAGTTCATTTCATTTTATGGTTTATGGAGCCAGCTTAGAAAGCGTATATTGACAAATGTACATTTTTTTTTTTTTTTTTTTTTTTTGAGCCCAAAACTGTTGATCAGGGATATTTCTTTTCGGAAGTCAGTGCCGATCATCTTCTTGCTATTGTTGAGTGCTTTATTGCTAATTCAATGTAACTATATATTGCTGAGAAACACATCTCGGGTACTAATTACATAATCGGTTATTTGCCATGATTCGGCATTTTTTTGTTTTTTTTTGTTTTTATGTCTACTGCTGATAAATAATGTTTGCTTCTTGTAGGGTCTAAAAGATGAAAAAGATCAAGATCCGGTATTATTTGGAGAGTATGAATACATTGATAATAATGCTTCCTTGCAATACTTTCCCGTGTTAAATAAAGGCATTCGTCAGCCGTACGAAATTGTCGAGTTACGCATTGAATCCAATCACGGACAACCTCTCTACACTTGTCTGTATCGATTTCGTGTGCATGGTAAGTCGACGATAGCAGAAGATGGCATCTAATAAATAGAGGTAAACCAAACTTAAACTTTTCTACATATGTCGTAAAGTTGCAGCCATATTTCTTCTTTTAGATTTAAGCCTAATTTTACATATTACATTTTTGTGAATACAATGAAAACACACAATGAAAATATTTTCAATTGTGAACGTCAAGTAAACTAAATGTAAATAATGTGCCTTGTAAGGGCGCGTGAGTAGAAATTTAAGTTAACAACGTAGGTGGAATAATTTTTTCTTAAATTTTTAAAACTCACTTGCGCTCTTTCATAAAAAATATTTCATCATTTCAATTACATTTTTTTTTTTTTTAAATTATTTTGTGTTTCTTAAACACTCTGATCAATTATATTATATTTAGATATTTGATTTTGATTAAGTGAAAATATTGTACATATTAGTAAAAGTCTTAGGAGTTTTAATTAAAAAAATCATTTTTATAAAGTTTTCAAAAAAAAGAAAAGGAAAACAATGAAGAGGATTTTCCTTTTTCTCCTCTCAATCCTTAACATAATAATGAACTTACTTTGGGCTTGATAAAATTTTTTTATGTCATTTGCATCTTATATTTAAACTTTTTTTTTTTTCTTTGTTTCTATAAATTTATATATATTATATGTTTTCATTACAATTTCTTTAGATTTTTAAGAATTTATGGCTTTACTTATACTTTATATTCGTCGTAATGAGTAATGAAAAAAATTTCAATTTGGAGAAACATAATAAAGAGAACATCTTGCAAACTAATAATAATAATAATTGTTACGTCACTTTACGCATATACACATATATTTTAATAAACGTTTCGCTGTCCCCTCTCTCGGCTTTTAATTTATTCAAAAGAAGTGAACACAATTTTGATTTATTACTAAATTTTTCTCGGTTTCTGTTCTTGATTAAAATAAATCTAAACTTTCTTTCGTAAGTTCTGTTAAAGTGTTAATAAATTTTAAAAAGAGATATTTTATGTGAAAAGTGTTTATGTATGTAATTATTTTCTTAAATATATGTACATGCACATATATATTATATTTAATAAATGTTTTTGTGTTTATTTAAAAAAAAAAAAAAAATCAAGTTATTAGTTTTATGTTATGCAACAAAGAAATTTCACAAGACGCTACAAGGTATATACATACTTGATCAATACGTTAAATCCTGAATAAATTTGGACAAGTTCGCCCGTCCAACTGGTCATTTCTCTTGATTTGTGCGGCAAACATTTCTCTGGAAGTTATCAGCTTTAACATAGATAGAAACGTTGGAAGTACTTGCACGCTCCAAATCGGTTGAACGGCACGCCCATAGCTCAACGGAGGCTAAGAACATCCCAATATTCAAAAGGAAAAAAAATTGTGAGTTCTCCTTGTTTCTTACAAGCTACAACAGATGGTATGATAAAAAGTTCCACGCGTATACGTGTGTACAGGATTGCGGAAAACCTGTAAAAATATGAAGACAATCGGTCACGCCCATTCAAAATTATTAAGTATAAAATTTTGATGTTTTGTGTTTGTTTTAAGGAAAGATAGCGGATATAAAAGATTGGCCCAAAGCCGAATAAAGGAGAAAATCGTATCTTTCGCTAAAGCTGACTTTCAGCTATGCGATTTGCTCACCTGCTTGCATTATCTAAAGCATTTCTATACAACTATATTATATCCGCGTTGTGCAAGGAAAAACTTTATAATCGGAGAAAACCGTTTAAATACTCCACTCCATTTCACTTAATATTGTTCTTCAACTAAAAAAGTGCTAAAAATTGTAATTTAATGCAACATAACGGCCTGCTTTTCATAAGAACTCTTTTATTGAGAGCGGAAAAATGCAGCTATGTAGTTCAAATTTTTCACAATAAATTTTTATTATAATTTTGTAAAGATTTTTAACATAAACTACTAAAATTTAGACTTTCTTGCCCTTTAAAGGCCTAATTATTATAAAATCGTTTGCATGGGAGACGTTCAATGTGTTGAGAATGAATGAAAATTTATATAATCTAATATACTTCTCCACGTACTTATTATTACAACTGTGTCCATATACTATTTGTTGCAACTCTCCTCTCTAATTATAATTACAGAATTTATCTTGTAAGAACATGTGTGATTTTAATAAATAAATTCAAACAAGCACAATAAATTGTTTTATCCAATTGGACAATCATCTAATATGCCAAATTTTTCTATGCATTGTTAAATAGGGAGCATGACCGTGGGTCCTCCTGTATAAAGTTTTCTCTGTGCAAAAATGATAATGGTGTCTTGAAGTTTGACAAAAACATTGAAAATTCTTGCAGTGTTGAAAATGAGCCAAATCGTTTATTCTGTTAAGTTGGATCTTTGTTTTGTCGACGACTTTGCAACTGAACACGCTTACAGTGCAACATAAACTGAAAATACCTTTGCTTTCTGTGGTTTTTGTTTGCCATTCCTTACCTATAATAGAAACACAATAAAAACTTCTACACGCATCGAGAATAAGCGTATACAATTATCAAGAATTTTGCATGTATTGCTTCGACTTAGAGAATAAGCGTATATTCGTACTCAATCATTCAACAGGTCTTTATAAAAAAGCCATCGATGCGAGATTAATGTGTATATTCTCAATAATTTGTATAGAAATTCACCATCTGAGAAAATACAAATTCCATACAATGGAGAATGTTTGAATAAATTTCTTTACATGTATTGCTTCGACTTAGAGGTCGTAGCGGTCACCATTCCCCTATGTCTTTCTTTCCCTTTCTTTATTTGTTTCTGACCATCATCGCCTTTCGCAAGAAAGGGTCACATGAAAAAAAGAAAAATATTTGCTGATCTTTTCAACTATTTGAAAGTACTTTAATCTCGGTCTCATTCAAGGTATGGTATTTCCCAGCAAAATCAGATCTATAGTTAACTGGGCACTTGTATCTAAAACATGAAGTTTGTTTTTTTCTCTTTTAATATGTCAATATTTTCAATTCAATTGTGGAGTATGGAAGCTTTCATGATATTTTTATGAAGTCTTATTTAGAATAAATTTAGCGGGTCGATTCAATCTATTTTCCTAGAAGACAATTAAGAAAGTTCCTCTCCAAATGAAATCGAACGAATAGATCAAAATTATAAAAAATTCGATTAGGTGTGGGCATTTAAATTACTTGAACGCCACACTTTTTTACACCAACGGCTCTAGAAAATATTCGGGACAGCTTTTTGTGTAGAGGGGGGAGTAGATATGCGGGTTTCATTTTTTTTTCTTCATGGTTCCGGCCGGTGTTCACAACGAGTTCATTATCTAAGCTCTCCAAAACTAGAAGTAAAAACATGATAATCGGGCAAGGCCGACCATCAGATACTATTCACCACTTCGCCTAATATAGTGCATTCGTTTCGGTAGTAATGCAAAGCGAAAATTGCATGTTATTTTTCTGCAAAGGCATACTTTTCAAGAAAGTTCGGATCTATAAATGTTGGTGTCTAAAAGATAGACCTATGTGAGATAAGTTCCCTGTACTGTAAGTTTTCATGCCAAATTGCCAAAAAATACGTTAGCAAGTTGGCCTTTTTCGCATATAAGGATTCATATATCTTGAGAATCATTTCCTGTGGCATCCAAAAAGTAAACTTACGTGGTTCAAATCCTGATTGATTTCTCTGTCAATTTACTGTTAGGAACCAATTTGCGCTATTGAAAATAAGTCCTCTCCATCATATAAAGATTCAGTTTCCAAAGGAACGGTTATTTGAAAGGGGATTCAAAAAATTGCTTCAGACGAATTGATTTTTTCATAGCAAGTTAGAATGTCGATATACTATTACTCAGCGATTTTTGCCGAAAAATTTTAATAATTGCAATTGTTTTCCATATAATAATTTTTTAAATAAGGGGTTATAGGAGGAGAGCTCGAAAAACTGCACGGAGCTGAATTATTTTCAATAGCATTCGCTCTTGAATCAAAGCAAACCAGTGTATAAATTTCATTGAAATAATTTAAGAAATGCGACTTGCACACAAAGTAACATGGACATACATCAGAAGGACAAACGGACGGACAAGCTTCATAATTTGTGAATCGATCGTTATAATAAAAGTTGGGTCTATTTTAACATACCCGTTACCAAGGATGGTATAAGGTACAATAAAAGCAGAAAGCATTTGGAGAAAACAAATATTCGATCTTTTGAAAGCGCGTTGTATCGAAAACGTGCTATAGAAGTATTTTGTTAAGCGGGCGACGCCTCTATACAGTTTGACAAGAAAATGCAGCTTGGGCGAAACGGCAGACGAAAAAGTCGAATGATGAAGTCCATGCTCATATCATAAATCTTACATGCACGCCAAGCCTTTTTTACACGGTCTTTTTTTACCAAATTGTCAAACGAAACGATCTAACAATAAAAACAAATATATTATTTTACACGCATTTTTTATCCCAACATGAATTACAAGACAATTTTTTTTTTTTAATTTTTATTTTGACTTTCCTTGCGACTTAGTCTGCTACCGGAATTACTGCAATTTTATAATCAGTTTTTTTTTACCTCTTTATGTTATAACATTTTATTTAACTCTATTCCCAATTTCAAGTTTTAATTCTTTATCCTCACGGAGTACAATTTCACTCAACACTAAATTTAATTTTTTTTTTTTGCAATAAAAAGTAATTGTTTTATAAATGTGTAATATGATTTGATTTTTAACTTTTTTGCACGGTTTTTTGGGCGATTATTTCGATATTTTTTATCTTATATGAAGCTGTGGAACGTGTCCCCTAATTTGCAACACGTCGCAGGCATTTTTAACACGATGTTTTTTGAACGATTTTTTGGGGGAATATTTAGATATTTTAAAGTTGTGGACTATATCCCCAAATTGACCATACGTCACGTGTATATTTTACACGATTTTGTTTGCATTGTTTTTCGCTACATATTTGGCTATACGGGCTTTTAGAGCTATGGAACATGTCCCAAATTTAACATAAATCGCAAATATTTTTTTACACGTTTTTTTCTACACGATTTTCTAAGGAATCTACAGTGTAAAAGAAGATTTTGGTGTATTTATTTAAACACATTCAGGGGTCTCCTGATCCATAAACACACATATATTTCTGATCAAAACGCAATTGTGGAATTATCATTAATTATATCAATCAATGGCCGGCAATGCGTACAAAGTGATAAGAATTTGTTTCATATAAATATTATTTCGTATTATGTTTACTTTTTGAAGAAAATTTCCTCTATGATAATAATAATAATTGTATACATTTTATATCGAAAAATTAATTACAAAATTGA